CAACTTGGAATATCGCAGTGGAAAGACCAATCATGTTGCTGATGCGCTCAGTCGGAGAGCTGATCTAGCATCGGTGTGCCACTCGCCACCCTAAGGGGGAGCGAAGTAGCCACATCCATCAAGGACCAAATACGGGATCTACTCATCAAGGATCCTGCTGCTCAGTATTTGGTTGATTTGGTAGGACAGGGCAAGACTCGCCAGTTCTACATGGAAGATGGTTTTCTGAAAGTAAAAGGGAACCGACTTTATGTTCCTAAAGGAGGAGATTTGCGGAGGACTGTTCTAGCGGAATGTCATGATACTCTGTGGGTCGGCCATCCCGGTGAAGAACGCACCATGGCGTTACTTCGTCGTGCCTATTATTGGCCTAAAATGGCCGATGATGTCGCTCAGTATGTGAAGACTTGTCTAGTATGCCAGAAGGACAAGTCGGACCGCTTGACACAAGCGGTACTCTTGGAACCACTCGCTGTCCCAAAGAGACCTTGGGAAAGCGTTTCCCTGGATTGCCCAAGGTCGGAGATCTCACAACCATCTTGGTTGTGGTGGACCGGTTTTCCAAGTATGCTACCTTTATTGCAGACCCACAGTATATATCAGCAGAAGATCCAGCTCGACTCTTCTTCTCTCATGTCGTCAAATATTGGGGCTTGCCCAAAGACATTGTTAGTGACCGCGACTCACGGTTCACTAGCAACTTTTGGACCCAACTCTTCAAGTGCCTTGGGTCAAAATTGAGTCACAGCTCAAGTTTTCATCCGCAATCTGATGGCCAGACGGAGCGGTTCAATGGTATGTTGGAGGAATATCTCCGCCACTTTGTAACCGGATCGCAGAAGAATTGGGTGAAGCTTCTGGATGCTGCTCAACTGTGTTTCAATTCACAAAAGAGCTCTAGTACCAACAAAAGCGCTTTTGAAATTGTTACCGGACAGCAACCGCTACTCCCACACACTGTGAATGCACCAAACATGGCTAAATCTCCTCGAGCTGCCAGCTTCTCAAAAGAGTGGAAGCGGAATTTGGAGATAGTGCGGAGCTATCTTGTCAAAGCCCAAAAGCGGATGAAGAGGCATACTGATCAGAATCGTCGCTTTGTTGAATATCAAGTAGGAGACAAAGTGATGGTCAAAATTCCAAAGCGGTACTTATTTGCAGGGGTCCATGACCCTCGCCTATTGCAAAAATACATTGGACCCTTGTCCATTGAAAAGTGTATTGGGAAGGTTGCATACCGGGTGGATACCCCAGCTTGGTGGAAAATTCATCCTGTCTTCCATGTCAGTCTCCTAAAACCTTTTCGGGAAGACACGGAGGATCCTTCAAGGAGCCAGCTCACAATACCCAGTATTCGAGGTCCCAATTCAACCGGGAAAAGGCGTGTTGAAGCTATCCTTGATGACAGAGTGATTCATGCCTCAAGGAAAGATCACCAAGAGTTTTTGGTGAAATGGCAGGGCTGTGATGCAAAAGAGAATACTTGGGAGAGGGGAACAAACCTCAAAGCCTACAAGAGCCTCATTGAAGATTATTTTGCAAGTAAGGCACCGAGGACGTCGCCAACTCAGGTGGGGGAGAATGTCATGGGCGGCTTTCCAGCCATGCCCCATGACCCCTTGGGCGCGCCCCGTGGCGTCCTAGCAAACCTCCCAATGCCTAGCGCCACGGACGGCCCCGTGGTCTTGGCCGCGCCAAGTGACAAGCGCGCAGGTGCCTCTGTCGTCCCACCAATATCCCTCGCGAGCGCCAAGCCGCAAGCAGAAGTCAACAGCGCCGCGCGCGCAGACAACGCCGCGCGCTCAGACCGTGATGCCAAAGACACTGGTGCTGACAATGGACCTGCTGCTGCCTTATAGAAAACTAAGTCATTTTCATTGTAAATATAGAGTAGTTTTATTTCATGTACTTCCATTATGTTTCTCTAGCTTAATCAAGTCTAGTCTTGTAACTTTGAATTATTTTTTTTAAGTACTATTAGGGGGGATCAAGCAATCAAAACTTTCTAGCAAGCAAGCAATTCTCTGTACTGGTGTCTCTCCCCCTCGACACCGCGTTGCTTTTCTGTAATAGCTTTAATGCAATCAAGCTTTCTTTCATTCTGAATTCTCATTTCTGTTCTCTCAATTGCTCTTGACATTGGTTTTTCCGTACGGCACTGACAATCTCGTCTAGCGTACGGAAGGGACCTCAGTTGGCGGACAGCAACTGCACTGACATCAGTCGCCTAGCCTTACGTCGCCCTTCCAAGGAATCTCAGGAAGGCGCCGCGTAACAGGTTGGAATATGATTTATACCGGTATAAGTTATTGCCGGTATAAGTTATATTGGGATAAGTTATGCTGGGATTAGTTATGCTAGAATTGTTGTTTATTCATTGTTTGGTATGTTGTACTAAGAATGACAATTGCATAATTTCTAAGAAGAAAGTATAAGTTATACCCGTGTTAATTACCCCACCTTTTATAAGGTATAAGTTATCCTAGTGTTAAAATTAACACCGGGATAACTTATACCTGGTTTACTAACCAAACAGAGTATTAAGGTGATATTAAATTTTTATACCACCCTTATACCTTCTTATACCTCATACCAAACGACCCCATAGTATTAACAGAGTATATGTTTATGCTTCACTGACTATCAACACCTCAACAATTTGATATTTTTGCACTATTGCTCTTTCTGTATCTTTCATTCTCCAGATATAATGATAAAAAGTTCTGTAACAAAACTAGTTCCCATATTTCTTGAATTGTTTACTCAAGAAAATAACGTAATCTTATAAAACAAAGATGACATGCCATTCATCAAAATGTTTTCTTTCCTGTTGCGTAAGAGGCAAACTGCTGTTATAGCCTTTCTCTTTGTTTTCTTCTGTTTTTTTTTTTTTTTCGTTTTTTCGGTTCCTTTTCCTATCACATTTAAGGTCAAAACAGAAGTGAATGTTATTTGCAAATAGGACAGCATAGTGATCAAGTTTTCCATCGCTAAATCAGAAAACTTTGCCAATAAAGGTTCCATAATTATGGAACGAAAATTTGTCAGATAGTTGCAAATGAAAGGTTTATTGCAAGATATCTATTTGAGGACATCAAACAGCGTGCCAGATCCATCTTTGTTATCACAATCAGTCTATCATAAATAACCTGCCGGGCTATCCAGGGAATTCATTCAATTAAAAATGATAAAAATTTGAGTTACCTATATATAACCATAATGTTAGTACTATAAATAGCGTAGTCACTCTAAGCATTTCATCCACAACATTCAAACAGAGACATATTAGATTCAACAGAAAAATTCAGCTAGTGAAAGATGGCTTTGATATCCAATTGGAAGCTTGCTTTTGTAGCTCTACTAGTGTTAGGAATCTGGGCTTCTCAAACCGCATCTCGTGACTTGAACGAAGCATCAATGGTCCAGAAACACGAGTACTGGATGACTCGCTTTGGACGTGTGTACAGAGATGATGCAGAGAAGGCAAAGAGGTTCAAAATATTCAACGACAATGTTGATTATATTGAGTCAGTCAACAAGGCAGGAATTAGGCCTTATAAGTTGGGCATCAACGAATTTGCAGATTTGACAAATGAGGAATTTAGAGCGACTCACAACGGATACAAAATGTCTTCTCATCAGAAGTCATCAAAAACCATATCATTCAGGTATGAAAATATGACTGCTCCCGCTACCATGGATTGGAGAACGAAGGGCGCTGTTACTGGAGTTAAGGACCAAGGGCAGTGTGGTAAGTCAAGTAATTTGGTCATGTAAATAATAACATTTTCTTTAATGTATATGCTACAAAAGAAAATCTTATTAAGCTGATAATGTAGGATGTTGTTGGGCATTTTCTGCTGTTGCTGCTACTGAGGGGATCAACAAGATCAAAACAGGTAAGTTAATATCTTTATCTGAGCAAGAACTCGTGGATTGCGATACAAGTTCTGATATGGGATGTGAGGGAGGTCTTATGGATGATGCTTTTACGTTCATCATCAAGAACCATGGACTTACTACAGAATCAAATTATCCATACGAGGGAACTGATGGCACTTGCAAAACTAGAAAGGAATCCAACCATGTTGCCAAGATTACTGGTTACGAAGATGTCCCGGCCAACAGTGAATCTGCTCTGTTGAGTGCTGTTGCTAACCAACCTGTATCCGTTGCCATTGATGCTAGTGGATCAGATTTTCAGTTCTACTCTAGCGGTGTTTTTACTGGAGAATGTGGAACTGAGTTAGATCATGGTGTTACAGCAATCGGATATGGGAAAACTAGTGAAGGGACAAAGTATTGGTTAGTGAAGAACTCGTGGGGGACGAGCTGGGGAGAGAACGGTTATATTAGAATGCAAAGAGGTATTGATGCTGCAGAAGGAATTTGTGGAATTGCTATGCAAGCTTCTTATCCAACTGCTTAAATAGCTTAGAAGCTTTGGTGCATGGGAATTTGTTGTTATCACCTTGTTCATATTTTATGTGGTGTGTCTACTATGTATATATGTTATAAACTCCTTATATGTACATAATTGTTAAACTAAACTTTCTATGTGAAAAGATTGGTAATGCGAGTGAATGATAGAAAAATGCTTCCCTTATTTAAGACTTCGATTCCATAAACACGAGATTACTAAATATATTGTCTTAGATTCCACTATTCAATCTTTGATTCTTAGGTTTCTCTGTCTTAGATTCCACAAGTTCTTTCAACTCGTTTCTATCAACACTTGGCCCAAAATAAGTAACTTTTGTATGGACCCAAAACTCAACTAGCAGTAAGTAAGTAATGTTGGAGAAACATTAGAGGAGAGAACAGTTTGTATTTGAGAGAACTCTAATTCTCAACTCGTTTGCCTCAAAATGACAAGCACAACGAGGTATATATAATTGTCAATAGAGACTTCTACACTCACTCGTAGGTAGGGGCGGCAAAATGGTTAAAAGAAAACAGTTAACAACCCATACTATCCACTAAAAAATGGGTTGAATAATGAACTATTTAAAAACGGGTCAAATATGGATAAGAACCATATTATCCATTTAGAAAATGGACAACCAATGGATACCTAATGAGTTTAACTTTGGAATACATTTGTAAAGTCTCAAATTGGAGGCTACTCAAGTTTGGGAGACTAGGAATTCTCCCAGAAGAGATTATATTCATTAAGTCAACCCGTATTATCCACCGGTCATTCGTTTTTTATCCGTATTAAATATGGGTCGGGTTAAATAATTTATCTATTTTTTCATTACCCATTTTCCAACCGTCCCATATTCGACCTGACCCACCCGTTTGCCACCCCTTCTTGTAGGCTCTAGTTAATTTGAATTTTAGAAATGATCTAAATACCTGTCATGATAATGCTTAAGTTAATCTAGAAGAATCAAAATCCTGCATTTGCAAATTGGGATAACCACTCGTCATAGATAAACACAAGAATGTCCAATCCAAATATTAAGCAACTAATTGGATAGTAGTGTCTTATAAATACATAATCTCGTTCTAGTTTTAGAATTTATCCAACTTTCAAAGATATAATCTATAGCTTTTCTTTAATACTTTAATAAACGATCTCATTAAGCATTGAATTAATCGTACAATGTTATGAAATATTATTTTGTAGTGGATGTCTATAACTCCTAAAGAAGTTATTCCCACTACTCTTCTCCATTAAGTAGATAACTCCCACTACTTCTCACCATTATAGTTGTAACTCCCACACCTCCATAACCTCCCCATGATCTTTCCTCATGATCTCAATAGTTAATACCATGTTTATGATATCCCTTTGTATACCTCAATGTCATCCTATAAATAGAGGGTTTGGACATCACATTGTATACACTTGAATACATGGAAGAAATAGATTCTCTTCTCTCTTTCTCTCTACATTGTTGTCTATCTTTTTATTTTATATTATTACTTTGAGCTAAGTTTTGTAACACGTTATCAGCACGAATGCTATTTTATTTTCTCTAATACTTCCTAAAAGAAGTGAAAACCTTCCATGGAAGCTACAACTGCTTTTGCTGCTTTGCCAAGGAAAACTTTCATTACATCTTGATAAAGATTTTGTGGTAAGCACTAAAGATGACACTGTCGTGTCATTAATTTAGTCTTATGTGCATAAAGATGAGAAAGGTAAAATTTTATACTGCAATAGCATAGTTAACCTCATATTGATCTCAAGCCAGTCTCATTTAATGATAATATTTACTTGACCTCAGTTTGATGTATCATCTTATTCAATATGATGATGAGTGTTATATCTTCTTTCTTCAAATTCTTGAAAATTAAGATTAATATTAACCCCAAAAGGATTGTATTTTGAATCGTGCAACAATGATACTTTTGCATAGACATGTGATAAATTATAAATCTTATTAGATTATTTTTAAGCATGATAGTTTTTGCTTAGAAGCAATCCCATTCTCATTTTTAGAAATGGTACCAGTAAATCTTAAAAGCCGACCATGCATATGTGTGATACAAAGGAGTTGCTTCTTTATGTAACACGTGAAAAAAAGAAGATATTTTACAGTAGCATATGTAAACCAGTACCTAATTTTTAGTCAAAATTACTAGTCATATACATGTGTCATTTGGTTCTCATGGCTTTTTATTTGCACGAAACACTATGTCTTGATTATAATAGTCTTTACTGTTTTCCATATATATGAACCAATGATTTGAAAAGGTTTATATCTGGCTAGTTTATTGGGATACATTTTGTGTAAATACAGAATATGCTAGTAACATTGAATAAGCTTCATTATTTTCTGGAGTAGAATATATCTCATTACACTTTGGATCAATTTATAGTTACTGAAATGGTAGTGCATGATATACACTACTATATCTAAATAATATGTTTTGATCAGTTTACATATAGTATATTAGTACATGAATATTTACTGGACCAAAATTAATCATTGATAATATTTCTTATCATTTTTAATTCACTTATTTTTATGATAGTGTTTACTATGTTGAACTTACTAAAGTTTGATTTATGGATATGTAAAATTATATTACATTCCTTGAAGTGAATTAAACAATTTGTGTTAAATATTATATAAGGAAAAGACGGTGGATTCAAGTCCCAATGCACCATAAGGATAAGACATCGGGTTTTGAGTCCTGATGCTCCATGATTATAAGAGTTGGGTTCGAGTCCCAACTAATTATGGCCTAAAATGATTTTATATGGGTAAGACATTGGGTTTTAGTCCCAAATGCGCCATATTGATGATATAATGATGACTAAAGAAAAATAACATATTTTTCATGAAAAAGCACGAAGCATGTCCCACTTGATTTGCACCATTCTTGAAGTGAATGCGGTAGCAGTGCATAATAAGTCTAAATGTAGACAGGTGGTTGACCAATGAACAGTGGGCGTGACCAAAGACTAATATTAATAGTCATCA